GATATACTAAACAATATATGAGAATTAACTAAAACATTAGCATCCGATAAATGTTTAACACTTGAAAACCAACTTACACCTTTTTCATAACCAATCAACATTGACATCCATACTTCTATTCAATTACATTTACTTATCCAAATCAATTCATGGACATAAGTCATCATCATCTAAACCATTCTAAATGAGACTACAACTCATTTATCAATACTTCAAGCACAAACATTTATTCATACACTTCCATTTCTTGCCATTTTATGGAACTACATCCGAGAGAACCGGCACCCAAATATATATAAGATTTCGGGACTTTCACCCTGGACACTCCGGCTAACTTAATTATCAATGGAGTCCATCCCCATCTCCTCCCAAACAAAGATACATATGCAATGTATTTAAACACTCTGTCAGATACAATGACCAATTCAATCACATATACAATGTTTACATCCAATCGTCATATTCAATGACATATTCTAATTGATTAGTTTCAATTTACCTAATCATCATGTAGTTTTTACAACAATCATGACTATCCTCCAGCGATAGCCCAAATCAGTTATTTCTAAACAGATAAGTAAATCTATTAAACAGATAAATAACTTTTATCAACAGATAATTTATCACAATTTCCATAGGTGGGTGATTTATTAATCCAACTACACCATTTAATCACATGTTCCTTCAATCCCATAATTTCCAAGCCAATCTCGTTATTTATACAAAACAACTTATTTAATTTAAATTAGGGCAAATCTTCCCCTTTATCAAATATTATGCCAAAGGCCAAATTTCGTCAATTCTTCTCAAGTCATAACATGTTCAAGACCTCTCATGCCCATAAGGAACCCAAATAGAAAACCCCTCTTTTATATATATAGAAACCAACCAAAAATTCACCAAAACCCTTCCCAAATCACACCATTTATACAAGATGACAATATCTATGTTAAAACCCATATAGGATAGTAGAATATTCCTACCTCAAGCTTAGAAGAGGAAGAAGGAAGAGAAACCCAAAAGTCGACGGAGGAGAAACGGCGTTTTGCTCCGATCAATATGAAGCCTTCAACAAGCTCTACAATGCATCTCAAAGGAGCAAGGTGAGTAGAGGCCTTCAACCAAGTAGATCTAAGGATCTATGAGTGAAAAGTGCCTTTTTGAGAAAGAGGGAGAGAGAGTCTCACGGTTTTGAGGGAGAAAAGGAAAGAAAACATAAAGAAAAGGGTTAAGTGAGAGCCTATTTATAGCACTAGGTAAAATTAGAAATAAGCCCCAAAGTCAACCCAAAATATCTAGTCAAAATCCCCACAAAGTAGGCCCCAAATCAATAGAAAAATATGGAAAAAAACGTCGCAGGTGTCGACCCTTAGACAGGAGGGGGTCAACCCTATCTTCCAGCAACCAACACACAGACATAAGAGGGTCAACCCTTTCCCAGTCTGGTGTCTACCCTAACTTCCAGCAACTAACACACAGACATAAGAGGGTCGACCCTCTCCCAGTTTGGTGTCTACCCTATCTTCTAGCAATACTTCCAGAACTTCACCAACAGGTAAGGGTCGTCCCTAGGAAGGCTAGTGTCGACCCTAGAATGGAATTTCTAAGTCTCCAAGGAACTTTGGACAAGAATAAATACGAACAATCAAATCCAACAAGTTTAAATCGGATTGTACTCTTCCAAAACCAACCCAAAACAACACCAAAGATTCCTAAAATAGAATAAAGGGTTCAAATACACTTACCAAAAGCTTTAAAGGACACAAGTGCTATAACAACAATTCGCCACTTCACAACAATACATTTTCAAGTGTTTAGCAATATTGTTAAGATAACATCTCATTTCTCGTATATCAAGTAAATTGCTATTTTGCTAAGCATGTAGTAAAAATTCATTCTCATTCATTCTCTTGACACAAAACCATAAAGAAACCCTTAAACATGTTCACCTTTTTCCAAAATCCCCAATTTTCTAGGTTTTCCACAAAAACCCTAACAATGTTCATCTATTTTAAAAAGATCTCATCACATACTTCAATCTCAACTAATGTTGTCCAAAATTTCAAGAAAAGTCTTTAAAAGAGCACAAGGTAGAGTTTGCTCTACAAAATCATCAATTTTCTTCTTGAGCTACAAACCCATTTTCAAAATAACAAAGAAGGGTTCACTAAATCAACCAAAACCTACATAAACATATATATAACTCAAAGGAAACCCTACTTCAAAGTTTGATGAAGAAAGAGGAGATGAAACCCTAGCTTTGATTGATGATTTTCCTCAACTTCCACTACACCAAGAGGAGCCCTAGCTTTTGATCTCCAATGCTTGAGAGGGAGAGATGAAGATGATGATGAATTTAGATCCAAGGGATTGCAAAATCAAAGAGTTTTTAGTGTTTGAGGAGGTTTTTTAGAGAGAAAGATGAGGGAAATAAGGTTTAGAGTGAGAGAGAGAAGCCCCAAAGTGAGATACATTTCAGCCAAAATGAGAAATAAAAACAGAGATTCGGACTGCCCAGAGTGCCGTACGTGCAGCGCCTATCCCCGCACGTGTGGAGCGCGCTTCCCGCACATGCGGTGGTCTTGCAGCACCTCAGCCCGCACCTGCCTTTCAGGCAGTGTGCAACCCTCAGGCCCTCACCTCTCACCGCACGTGCGGCCTCTCCCCCTGCACGTGCGACCCCCACCCCACACGTGCGGCCCTAGCCCAGCAGCCCAAAAATTCTCCGCTTCACTTTCGAGCACACCGGACCAAACCCCGCACTTCCCGGAACAAATGAAATCCATCACCGAACACCATAAGAACAAGAGTTCTATTTGAGAACTATTTTCTAGACCTTCAAACCCAACGAAAAACAAAAGGAGAATGGAGCAAAGAAAAGAAAACAAAATAGACCCGGTCGTTACATATATATTACTTATTGGCGACTAAAAAAAATTAGTCACTAAATATCATCATAGGCTACTAAAAAAAATATTAGTCGGCATTAGTATAGATTTTAGGCTGCTTAATTTTTTTTAATCGTCTTATAATACTTTTTGCTGACAAAAGAAAAATTAGTCGCCAAATAGTAGCCAGATTTTTAAGGAATTTTTTTGGCGACCAAAACGTTTTGTCGGCAATTATTATGTTTTGGTGACTAAAAAATAATTAGTCGTTGTATACTCATTTTTTCCGACCAAAAAAAATTTTGTCGCTAAATTACTACCTTTTGGCGACTAATATTTTAGTCGCCATTAATAAAGATTTGGCTACAAAATGATTTAGTCGTTATATATTAACATTTGCCGACAAATAAAACATTAAGTTGGTAATTTAGTTGCTAAATTTTTTAGAGAGTGAATTAATATTTGCGCCCCTAACCTCTTTGTGTGTACACAAACACAGAAGCTCTCTCTCACACAGATCAATCACCAGCAAACCTCACCTCAGAGCATCTTCAGCACCGTCGGTCCCCATTCGCTGCAAATTAGCACCGCCACAGCGGCAAATCAACATCGCCATTGCCGCAAACAGGTTTTCTCTCTATCTCACTCTCGGTCTCTCTCTCTTTCTCTCTCTACCCCTTCTTCTATTTCCCTAATTGTGAACTCTTGCTCTAGGATTTTTTATTCTAACCGTTCAGTATAATTTTGTCTTTATTTCTGAAATGAGTTTGGTTGAAGTGGTATGATTTTGAGAGTTTTATGGGTTTGATTTTAGGGTTTGATACCTTTTCCCCTCTTTTTTTCTTTCTCTCTCATTAGTTTCAATGCCCTAATCCATTGATTGTGTATGCATTTGCATGAATATGTAATCTCATGTGTTCTGATTATCTTAATTGAAATTTGATGATCTGATTGCAATAGTAAATAATCTATTTGCTTCCCTTTGATGAGCTCTAGAATTTTTTATTCTACCCATTCAGTATAATTTTGTCTTTATTTCTGAAATGAGTTTGGTTTTATGGGTTTGATTTTAGGGTTTGATACCTTTCCCCCTCTTTTTTTCTTTCTCTCTCATTAGTTTCAATGCCCTAATCCATTGATTGTGTATGCATTTGCATGAATATGTAATCTCATGTGTTCTGATTATCTTAATTGAAATTTGATGATCTGATTGCAATAGTAAATAATCTATTTGCTTCCCTTTGATGATTATTTCTCAGATTTTGGGCAATACCCATCAAGTCATACATTGTGTTTGATTTATTTTCACTTCTTCATTGCTCACTAAAATAGTCTCTCAGCATTGTCAAAAAATGAAGGTCTAAAATTTAATGTTATTTCAAGGTTCAAATCGTTAAATGCTTGACCTAATTAGAATATAATTTCGTACACTTGTGAGAAATTTCAAAAGCATAAATCTGTTTCTAAACTGTATGATGAGTGATAAGCTGAGAGTCATCATAAATCTATATCTAAATCTGTTTCAAAAGCATAAATCAATTTCAAAGAATATAATTTTGTGCCACAAGTTTGGTTTTTTGAAAGTATGTGTTAATGTTGGTAATACATTCATGAATCATTTGGCAATCGCTTACCCAACTTTGGATCTTTGTTGCATGAAGTAGCAGCTGGGGTAGGGGTGGGAACAGAGGCTGGAAAGTGTGGGCTCATAGAAGTGTTTGGGAGTGCCTATGAGAGCATTTATATATTATATAATATATTAATACATTGCAAGAAATCTTTTTTTTTTTTTACTTGTAATATATCTGAATATGAAAAATAGTGCTGACCGATGTCAACTGTAAATTGTTTATTGTAAATATAAACAAATATAATGTAAATACATAGTATTAGAATCAATTTGGATTACATTTTCCCATCATAGTTGGGAACACAGTTTCTTGATGGGAACATGATTATTGTAACTAGATTCTTGCTCTGACTTGTGGAATTGCGATTTTGGAGTAGATTCATGATGTTCCTGCAACTAACCTTTGGTTGCGTTATAAGCTCACTGTAATGGTTTAGATTCGACCCATGTCTATCATATTTTATTGCGATGTACAGTTTAAATGGGTCATACAATTTCATTTATCAAAAATAAATATATGTCATACAGGTTCATCGGTCTTGTTGGTGCCTTTGCCTAATGGTTTTGGATGCCCTTTTTATTTTATTTATTTAAATGCGAGTGCTCATATCCTTTTTGTGCATAAGTAACTTAAATTTAATGTCCTTGCCTTTCCTTCTTTCTTTCTTCTTTTCATTTGTAATCCTCTTAGCTTATTTCACTTCATGGTAGTGCCTTTCAATTTTACACTATAATAGTCTTCAGCATACATTCCCTATGATGAAGTGAAGGTTCAATTTACAATTTTAGTCTTTTAAATTGAAATATCATTCGTGTAGATATGTTTCAGTAATAGGATGGAAAAATTGGAAGATCATTTTAAAATTGATGGGTTCTACTTTGAAACAGTTGATTCTTGGTTGATTGCTTGCAAATGATGCTGTTTACAATGTTTTTGTCCATTGCCAAAAACAAAACTGAGGTAAAAGATGCTATATAATCATGCTTTTGCGCAATAAATTGGGGCTTGATGTCATTTTGGCGGGATTCAAAAAGTCAATTTGGGTACTTCAAGTTGTACTGCCATTTGTAGATTGCAATATTATAAAATTGAAAATCCTAGTTCTGTTTGTTCGTCTCCCTTTTTTTTATATGTTGTTATGTTATTTTGCCCTTAACTGATTCAAATCTCTTTTTTATTTTGTTTTATTTCTTTTTATTGCGACTATGACAACAAATATCTAAGATTGGTAAATGTTTTTGGGTAATTTGAGGAGGAAAATTTAGTCGTAGATCTATAAGCGTGTAAAGGGTGTAATATGACAGTACCCGTTTCATGAAGGGGGTATCTATATCAAAAAACACACCAAACAACATAATCATAACTTTATTGAATCGTAAGTACATTTTAACCTATTATATCATAGACTTCTTAGTTAAATGTTACAATATCGCTTGTTGAGGAAATTAAATTGTTACTGCAACATTGAATAGAAGTAAGTATAACATTAATCATGACAAAAGGAAAAGATACATTAAACTTTTAGCACTGGATTAAAAACCCCAAGTCCCCTCCTCCTCCGACCCCAACTAAAATATTGAAACATCCAAATCCTCATACTCAATGGAGACTAGAAAATATGCAAATTACCATAACGAAATCCTCTCAATTTTAAATCCTCCAACACTAATAATATCCAACCTTTCTGCTACAGGCTGTGTTTGAACTTCAGTTTTCTACTTTTTCTTTACAATCACCATGGAACTCAACTCCTCATAGTGCAAACAGAAAATTGAAGGGAATTGTGAAACTTGTTTGCCTTAACTACACACCTATTTTCTTCTTCTTCTTCTTTTCTTCTTCTTTTTCTTCTTTTTTCAGTTTTTTTTCCCTATAATTCTTCCACCCTCCCAAATCTCCACCCACAAATTCCTCTAAAAATTTGAGATCCAAACATAGCCTAATTAGACCTAGGGAAGAGGCTACAATGCTGCAGTAGATGACCTCTACTGTCAGCAATTACCTTCGGTCACCGGCGACAATCTTCGACTTCCAGTAACTACCTCTGACCTCTGGTTGCTTCTAACTACCAACAATTATCTCTAATCTCAGACAACTTTTGGTGATATTTTTTTGACCATTTTATAACAAAAACAAATGTTCATCTTCACCATTTGACTACTACCACCACATCCTTAGTTCTAGTACCAACAAGAGACAAAGAGAGAAGGGGGATGAGGAGGAAAAATAAAATTTTATTATAAAATATTTCACATTAGTCTTCAATATCATAGATCAATACAAGATGAACAAAAAAAATTTAAAGATACATTCAGGGATAATTTTCACTAAACACATCAATGATAAATTTATTACCGAATGATTTGTAAAAAAATTATAGATGTCAATTCACTCATTCACATTCATACTTATACTCACTTACTCACAAGACACTCACGTCATACATACATACACAACCAAAGATTGATAAATTTAACCCTAAAAAATAAATTTGCAATAGATTTGGTTTGAATAATAAAGAGACAAAGATAAGCAAGAGCGGTAAGATCTAAAAAACACTACTGTTAGTTGGAGTCATTTGGAGTTGATTTTACCATTGAAACAATTAGATAAGGGAATATCAAGAACTATATTGGTAGATTAGTGTAATAATAAATAATAAATTATCAAGTTAATTAACAAATTTTAATAATGTCAAAAATATATTTCAGTTAATAATTCAAGCAATTCCTCTCGTATGATCACAGAGAAATTTCATCGAGGGACCTGAACTAATAAAAAAAACATATTGAACCTCTCCTACTACACAAAGTTGGAGAGGAATGTTTTACTAATTTTCCCTATTACTAATGTAATGAGTGTCTGGTTGAGTTTTTAAAAATTGGTAAATAGTTTGAATATATATATATATATATAAAGTAGAACTCCCAAAAATTTAATTTTGAAGAAATTATAAAAAAAAATTACAGTTTGACCATCGTAACAAAATATATTGAGAATTTTATTTTTATCAATTTAAAATTTAAACTTTTGATTTGTTTTCAATCTAAACCATTTGTTTATTTTTGTCAAATAAAATTAACAAAAAAAATATTTTATTCATTAAATTCAATATAAGTATATATAAAATGTTTAAAATATAATTTTTTTTGAATTTATTTACTAAAACATTATTTTTCATCGATTTTACTCTACAGAAATAGACAAATGAATTACATTAAAAATAAATTAAAATTTTAGAGTTTAAATTGATATAATTTTAAATTTTATTTTATTAGTCAAACACAAATTTATTTTGTGGGAATTACTATTCAGGCCATAAGACCAAGTGTTTGGGGTATAACTTTTTTGTGAATTTTTACACAGAAAAAGTTGCACACCACCCTTTTGTAATTATTTTTTCTACCTGCCACTGTCAAGTAATTTTCTCTTTATTTACTTACTTTTTTGTAAATTTTTCATTTACTTTATATTTTAAAAAAAGTACAAATTATAAGTACACCATATGAGATTTGTTTAAAATACGGATTGACTATTGTAGTTTGGAAAATTACAAATATTCCGTTGTTAGAATTTTTTATTTAATAGAATTAACTGAAAAAATGAAATTCCTTATTGCTCTCCTATGCAATAATAGAATTATTTAAATTATTAATTAAAATATTTTTTTGACATGCCTAGGTAAATCACTACAACAAAAAAGGATTTTTACAACACCAAATGCACGTCGTGGAAACGATTCTACGACTCGCAAGGTAAAGCCGTGCTATGACCAATCATGGAAATCCATTCATTTCAACGACATATCGTAGTACGCTGTTAAAAACCCTTTAACAACGTATCTTGTGCGTCGTGTTTCACTTTTCTACAACTACTTTTGCACGCCGTTAATTCAAGGGACAAACCATGACGTTCATTACTAGTCGTTGAATATTTAATACAATGACCTATTTTGCCTGCCGTAGATAGCCCAAGTTTCACAGCATTTTTTGCATGCCGTAGAATATGTCTATTTTAAATATATAAAAAAATCAATAGGTTTTATTTCACCTGTTCTGTATAATCTAAGAAAACATTACAAACAAGCTTCACAAATATATATATATATATATAAGCATTAATCAAACACCAAAATATTGTTTCAAACATCCATAAAAAACTATCCATAAGTTCTAAATATCAAAAAACTATCTATACATTCCAAACCATCTAAAAACTATGTTTCTAAACATAAAAAACTATTCCTAAGTTCGAAACCATCCAAAATGTTCTAAATCATCCAAAAAAAATTATCATTAAGTTCTAAACCATACAAAATTTATCCAAATATCTTCTTGTGAGTGCATCATCATGGGCTGATTTAATTGCATCAACATTTGGCTTGTGTCCTTCATATCTTTGTATTAGGAAATTCCTGGCAGCTTCAATTTCGTCTTCAGAAGCTTCCTTACTTATTCCAAGTCATTTATAAGGGTCTCTTATATTGATTCTGGGAAGTATAACTTCACTTGACAAAGCAATTACAGAAATTTCATAAATTCAAGATTGCACAAAATACTGTAATGCCTAGCATGCTTCAATAGAAAACCAAATGCAGAGCGATAATGTAGATAAATAGTGTGTGGGTGATTTTCCGACCACACTGCCAAACAGGTACCCAGCTGGAGAGCACCGGCAGAATAGATTAGGCCCGAACGACCTACAGCAGAAAGAGAAGATTCCGGCGGTGGCTCGTCTACCCGGAGGTGCTCCGACGATCAAGTCAGTACTCCATATCTCTCAAAGATAACCAGTAGTGCTTAACTCACTAGACAGAATATCAAAAGACATACCTTAGACCCATGGGGGTGCCTCCTTTTTATAGCCAACATAATCCTAGTCCCAATAGAAGTCTAGCTCTAATGGACTTAGGATTACTGCTAATCCTGGACTCCCAGTAGGATTGGGATAAACTCTCTAAGAGTCTTATCTTTACCCAAACTGAAGTCTTCTCCCATTTTAGGACTCTTGTCCCTTATCCGCTTATCTCGGATTCCGGTATCTTCAGAGATAACCTCGGCCCTGCCAAGATAACCTCGGTGTCATGGCCAGGACACGTGGCACCTCGGCTGGCACTTCGGTGACACCTCGGCCACGTGTCGTTATTCAAAATTTATGTCCCCACAACTGCCCCCTAGGTTCTATTACCTCGGCATCCTGAGGTGATGGAACCTATATCATTTCTTCCATTTAGCAGATCGGCTAAGCTCGCTCCATTATTTGTTGCTAAAGTCAGAGCTCGTCGGCTCAATATGACCAAGACCT